CCTGACATTTTAAGCAAGTAAAAAAAAAAAGAACTTTATGTAGTGACTGAGCATTTTGAAACTTGGCCTGCTTCTTAGCGAGCAAAAGCTTTTTTAAATAATAAAAATCGTATGGAAGGTCAAAAATATTCTCTTTTTCTCCCTCAAAACGTATCCAAAAGTTTGTGATATTATATACTCATTGCAGAAATCTATGCAGAGCTGAAACGGGGGCAGTAGCCCAGCTTGGTGCCACTCATATATACTCTATTGAAAAAAGCTGTTTGGATTTTTGCTGGTCCTTCCTCCATTAGCAACAATGGTGATCCAGAACTATGGAAAGCACTTTGTTCTTTATTCCTATCCCTTCGGATATAAGGGTCGTTATCAGGACGCAATGTATGTGTTTTTTTGGTTTGGCTCTTCAGAAGCATCCCTCCAGAAATGGTCAGGGCTGAGACCGTAGATTTCTTGTACTACTTCTGCGAACTAACTGTCCTTGCTACATTTTTCCAACGAATTCCGCCACTCTGTTTACTCATTATAATTTTTTTAATGCTTTCTCACCAACTGTGCTGCCAGTGATAACATGATCAGGTGCTTAAAACTCTGAAAAATTTACAGCCAAAAGGTGAATTCTTTCAGCTTTAGCAGGAGGCTTTGAGGGATGGCATCTCCTTCCCTCTCTCTCTCTCTCTCTCTGAACAGGATTACAAAACTGGCGCAAAATGTTTGAATCAAAATCTATGTGATACGGTATCAGTGACTGGAGATGGGAACTTATTTGGTTTTTACCAAAATTTAACTAGGAGGCTGGGAACAATGATAAGTTTCAAGTTTTTGACTGCCTGGAATTTTTTAAGGCATAAAGAACAGATTTGATTTGCTTTTTTTTACGTGCAGTGAGTCCCCAAGTACAGTATATCTTGGAGACGCAATGCGTATCCCGTTTTTTTTTCGCCATAATGTAGAGCCGGGCCAAAGTTTTGTTAGCTGTAACTTAAGCCTTGCTTCTTCAACTGAGCACGCTGAGACTGGGAAAGATAACGTTATGCATCCGCATTACTTTTAAAAAGAAGCGGGTGTGCGCGCAAAGCGTATTCAGTAAGCTCTCCTCTGATCGGCTGTGCATTGGGATGGCAACCGTCTATCTTGCTCTTGCGGATCGTTCCAGTGCTGTCGCATCAAAACTACGCAGGATTGTGAAGGAAACTGGCAAGTCTGAGCTGACTGTGAAGTTTGTTTCCCTCTTTTTTTTCCAAACCAGTGGTCTTTAGTAGAGTTTTTAGGCGAGTGTAGAGGATCTGCGCATGTAATTGTTTTCTGAAAAAGTACAGATCATGGTATACTGCAAAAAAGACCTGGAAACTATTTTTTTTGCTGTTGAGATATTAACAAGTAAGTATTTTACGGCCCTTTTTTCATACATGCCCTCAAAACGGACTGTTAACCCCTAGTTTACCACTTTATGCTTGGAAATAACATTACCTCTAAAATTGTTGTTATTCATGCTTTGATTTTTTTTAAATCATACTTTAATTAAAAGCTCCCACCTTTTGAGCAATCTTCTTCATTTAAGAAAGTATGATATTTTGCAACTTGCTGCAGTTGCAGCTGTTCTACACTAGCGCAGAAACCCTTTTTAGGGTTTGCTGTTGTAAACTTGAAAGAAGACCATATTACCATGTCAAAGGCACCAATTTTCTTTATGGTTCAGTCCACTTCTTGAGCAGCTGCAATGATACCATCGGTAGAGCTAGGGAAGTCGGTTGTCCAGCCTAATAACGACGTGCATCCACTCATAGAGATAACTGTCTCCATATCGACCTCAGGTATCTTCCTCTGTAATAGAGTTAGGTTTCTTGAAGAGCAGAACCATAAGATACTGCTGTCTATCACACTGTATTTCAACGGCTGATTTTGTACTGTCGATCCCATTTTGGTTGAAGTCTCTGTGTTTGAAAGTGCTGCCTTCACCGTAGGTAAGCAGCATCTGTTGGTTTAATTGAAACGAACTATATTCAAATTAGTTTCTGACACCCGATTTTTAAATCCTTTTTAGTTAAAATATAGCATTTTTTAAATTTGCTTTTTTTGGAACTTTTTTGCAGGGACAAATGGACTCAGTAATTTTTTTACAATGGTCCATATCTGAACTTGTGTCCAAAATTGCGAGTGAAGCGGGTTAAGTCAGGTTAAAGGTTAAATCCTCCTTGAATAGTTTTCCAAAGGCCAATATATGAAATGACCACGCTTAGCGGAGAGCAGCGCCCAACACATTTATTGGCTGTACAGGCTCGCTAACACTATTAAACAATGCTCATGTTTTAGATCATTAAAGTAGTTTAGAGTTCCGATTTCGCTATATTGGGCAGCCACGCTTTGGGGACCTTCAGAGAAGCTGCTGGGAGGGCCATACAACATTATTAAATTTATTCAGCAACTAGTTAGGAAGTCAATGCCGGTAATGACAATATTTTTTCGTTTTTCTTTCCCCAGCCTTTTGTTCTCCCAAAATATCAACCTCATCACTAAATTTTGATAAACACTGGAAAAATTCTGGCCCATTTTGAAGTTAACCATTTGAACTGTCTTTATGGCAGCACTGTATCAGAATATAAATAATTTTTTCACTCTTGAGTTATACTTTTCGGCAAATTGTTATTTTCTAAGAAACCATCACCTTGATTTTTGATTAAAACTGTAACCGCAGAGCTGAAATTTGGATAATTCTTATAGAAGTGCAAATTCAACTTCTCTTTGAAGCAGAGCTTCACAGTCGCCAAATCTGAAAAACTGTAGTTCAAGATTTAAACAATGTCCACGTTGGATATGAACGTCATTTAAGTCAAAATGGTAAAAGAAAATCCATTACTCGTTGCTAGTTTGTTGCGATTACAACAGTAAAACCGAGATTTTGAAGGATTTCAAAATAAAAGAAAATGTTATTTTTGTTGACAATGCACTGCAGACCAAACAACTAAAATGACTTCAATTAAAATAAAAAAAAAAAAGAACTTGATGACGTCACTGTTTCTAGTTCCCAGCTGTTGACCGCTTGTCAGGGCCTCCTGAAGATTTCCTCAAAGTCTAGAATTAGTTCATGTTCTTTAGAAAGGTCTAGGAGAGGACCACTCAACTATGTTAGTTTG